TAACATCAAATAATGTACAATGATATTCACCATAACCAATGTACTTCACCGATAACAGTCATCAACCACCATACATGCACTACAAGCATTCAATATTAGCATTATAGTAACACATCATAGGATAACATATATTCATCCCTACGCGTTTATCGCATGCAACATACGATTACTCACCGAACAACACCAACATCGTACAATGGCATTCACCTTAACCAATATACTACATCAAAACAGCCACCAGGAAACATACATATGCTACAAACGTTCAACATTGCATTATAGTAACATCATGTAACAGTATATTCATCCATACGCACTATGACACCGCAACATATAATTACTCACCAAACAACACAATCACACAATATTTAAATCATTTCCAGGCTGCAAAACTATTTTTAAATAAAAGCACATCACGTTATCTTTCTAACGCTTCAAACAACACCTCAATCGGACTTACGGATCAAAAGTTATGAATTATGATAAAATCTGTCAACCAAGCTGTAACCGGTTACATCAAAAACAGAGGCAAAAATCTTCATTTTTCTGCTACGAAAGCGGTTCCCAAAAACCCTAATTTTTATCCCAAAAGTTATTTTCATTTTGTACCCTTCAAACCCCATTAACATATAGGAATTCTAACATTTATCATGAATACAATACATCAAGAAGCATACAATTTAATTGATTCATTCATCGGTCAATTCAAGCATGGAAATAGAGGAGATTCAACATATATAGAGATAATTAACCACCCATATATTATTATACATATAGATTGATGATTTCGAAGCTTCCCAATGAGCTCTTCTTCTTCCCCTTCAAAACCTAGCTCTTCCTCTATTCTCTTTTCTCCTTTTTCCATTATTTTCACGTTAGCTTTTTGTCTATTCCCATTTTTCTCTTATTTTTGTTTTATTATCACAATTCTAATTATTAATTACCTCACTAAATAAATATAATGATAATTCCACTAAAATAATTATTTAAAACCATAATCTCCTAATACTATTTAATTTATTAACTATTTCAATATTATCTAATATTACTTAATTCTCCTCACACTCCCCAAATCTCTACACTTTTACTCCAACACCCCGAATACCTTAAATTTAACATTTCTAAGGTTACTACCCTTCACTTAAGGGTCCCTCCAACACATCGAATTTCATAAATAAGTACATATACAAACACACAATTATTTGTGAAAATCGAATAAATAATTAAATCAAATTGGGTTGTTACAATGTGCCCTTTTGAATGAGGTAATCTATCTCCTTCTTTAATTTATGATAGTCATATGAGTGGCGGTCCATTATATTGTGATACTTATAACATTTGTTGGTTCGTTTCTCATAACATCCCATCTTAAAATTAGGGGGTTCAAGAATAACCCTCATATGATAGACTTATCGCCAGGTTTGTTCTCGCCTTGTATTCAATGGCATGTAGTTCTTCACATGACTCATAAGTGGTGGTTTGAAGGTTCCTCTGTCTTTGATTGGTTATAAATAATTGTTTTTGCATTGGCTAAAGGAGTCTAACCCACCACAACTTATTTCTTTGGCGTCACTGGCCTTTTCCATGTGTTACTCCCCTCGCCTTTGACATGACACTCTACTCTCATCACTATCTTCTCCAGTGAATTAAAGTGTTTTTGAGAAAGAGATTCAGTGAAGTGTCCAACCTTTAACTTTTAGTTAAGATTCACCACTTTGATGGTGGCTTCGTTGAAACGTACTGAATATTCACACAAGGCCTTAAAGTGTTCATGTCTCACGGTAAGAGACTTGTGGTGGACATCTTATAATATTTAATAGACTAGAACCCTAAACCCTAAATATACTAAGTATTCACACAAAGGATCAAAGTGTTCACGTTTCATGTTTAAGGGACTTGTGGTGGACATCTTAGTAATTGTTCACGAAGAATCAGGGAAGATTCATGTATCGACGAAAGGTTGCATCATTTACAGTTCTAGAGAAGATCTTGTATATCAACGAGTTCATCACATCTATAATCTCCATCCGCATGTTGACATGTCCACTGCACCTATAATCTCATCTGCGTGTTAAAAACGATATCATGTTCTTGAGATTTGATTTTCCCATCAAACACCATCTATTGTTTTATAATAGTAACTCTTTTTATAAATAAACCTCTTTTTTCTTTAACGTACACAATTCAATAATTACAAACAACAACAAAATTAAAAATGGTCTCTTGTACCACCATGACCAACACACACACCAATCGAGTATCATAGCGCATTGACAAGAAACATGGGATCCAAATAAAAAAACAAGTCACAAATGCACAGTCCTCAACAGTAACAATAGTAATTACTACCTCTATCTCATAAAAAGTATCTCAGTTGCATTTTTTTCCATGTCTCAAAATAAATGTCTCTTTAGAATACCAATATAATATTTATTATTTATTTCTACTACTATATCCCTATTCATTAACTTTCATGTTTTTCAACTACTCTACTAATTATAATAAACAAGGGTATTTTAGTAAAAGATATCAATTTTATCATTAAAATCAACATATCTAATCATTTTCTTAAGAACTGCGCACAACTCAAATAAGACATTTATTATAAGATGGAGGGAGTTAAAACAACAAAAGTTTCATTTCCAAATAGTACAAACAAATAACCAATCAATTCAAACACAAAAACCACTGTTGACTTGACTCTTTTGTCTCCTCATTCATTCATTCAATGTTTGCTTCAATTCAATCAATTGAACTTAAAATTTTCCAGAAACCATTTCTGTTCGAATTCTACAAGACTAGTAGAGGTTTGATGATGCACCAAAGAATATATGCATGTGAAATACTCAAGAGATTTGAGATGCAAGATTGCAATCCAACTTCGACTCCAGCTGAGACCAGATTGCAACTGTCGAAGGATTCAGATGAAGATGATTCGACCTAACCCAATACAGAAGAATTATTGGGTCATTTCGACACCTTTGTCACACAAGGCCTGACTTAGCATACAACGTGGGTATGGTAAGTAGATTCATGCAGAAGCCAAAGGTATCACACCTAGCAGCAGCGAAGAGGATACTGAGGTATCTGAAAGGAACTCTCGACTACGAAATTTTGTTTCCTAAAGCTGATGAAGGTAAAGAATGCAAGTTAGTGGGATACACTGACTCAAGTTGGTGTAGCGATGTTGAGGATCAAAAATCCACAGATGGTTATGTGTTTATGTTAGGTGGTGCACCAGGTGCTTGGAGTTCGAGAAAGGAGCCAGTAGTGACATTGTTATCATGTGAAGCAAAATATATAGCTTCTTCTCTTTGTGCATGTCAAGCAACCTAAATGGTGAACCTGGTCGAAGAGATCACAACGAAGAGTCATGGAACAATTACCATGAAAATCGACAACATGCCAGCTATCAACTTGGCGAAGAATCCAATAACACACGGTCGAAACAAGCACATCGAAATGAGGTTCCATTATCTTCGAGAATAGGTAGCAGAAGGGAAGATGAACTTGGAACACTGCAGAACTGAGAATCAGATTGCAGACATCATGACGAAGGGAGTGTCAATCGAAGTGTTCAAGAAGTTAAAGTTTATGATGAATGTAGATAGTTTGATAATCATGGTTTTACAATTGCAAAGTGATAATAAAATTTCACAGTTGTAGATAGAGAGTTACTTTGCAGTTCATACTCATCTTCTTTAAATGTGTTTTTGTTTTTATTCGTAGCCATTACATAACAATCTTGAGATCAAGATTGAGAAGAATTTTCTATAGGTTGTGGTTGAATTCCAACACCTTTTGAGGTGCCCTTCTTGAATGAGGTAATCTATCTCCTTTAATTTATAATAGTCATATGAGTGGCGGTCCATTACATTGTGATACTTATAATATTTGTTGGATTCGTTTCTCATAACCTCCCAACTTAAAACTAGGAAGTTCAAGAATGACCCTCATATTATAGACTTATCGTCAGGTTTGTTCTCGCCTTGTATTCAGTGGCATGTAGTTCTTCACATCACATGCCTCATAGGTGGTGGTTTGAAGGTTCCTCTGTCTTTGATTATTTATTGATAATTGTTTTTGCGTTGATTGGAGGAGTCTAACCCACCACTACTTATTTTTGGCGTCACTAGCCTTTTTCCACGTGTTACTCTCCTCGCCTTTGACATAACACTCTACTCCCATCGCTATCTTCTTCATTGAATCAATATGTTTATGAGAAAGAAATTCATTGAAGTGTCCAACCTTTAACTCATCATGTAAAGCTCTTACAAACTTCTCTTAGTTAAAGTGGCTTCGTTGAAATGTACTAAGCATTCACGCAAAAAAGCTCAAAGCACTCATGTCTCAGTTTAAGAGACTTGTGGGAAGCATCATAGGAAAAATTGTAAAAGCATAAAACATCTTGCGATGCTTCCTAGACGAGAACCGGTGGATTAGTTTTCTAAATAGAACCTAGTAAATGTTCACGAAAAATGGAGAAGATTCATGTATCAACCAAAGGTTACATCCTTTACAATTCTATTAAAGAGCTTGTATATCAACGAGTTTATCACATCTATAATCTCCATCTACATGTTGAAGACGATGACATGTCCATTGCATCTATAATCTTCATCTTAGTTGAAAGCGATAACATGTTTAGGAGATTATGTTCTTGAGGTTTGCTTTTCCCACCAAACACCATCCATTGTTTTATAATAATTCTTTTTATAAAAAAACCTCGGTTTGCTTTAACGTACACAATTCAATAATTACAAACAACAAAAGAAATTAAAAACGATCTCTTGTACCAGCACCACCCACACACACCAATCGAGGATCATAGCGCATTGAAAAGAAACACGGGACCCAAATAAAAAAACAAGTCACAAATGCACAGTCCTCAACAGTAACAATAGTAAAGTTTCATTTCCAAATAGTACAAACAAATAACCAATCAATTCAAAAACAAAAACCACTGTTGACTTGACTCTTTTGTCTCCTCATTCATTCATTCATTCATTCAATGTTTGTTTCAATTCAATCAATTGAATTTGAAATTTTCCAGAAACTATTTCTGTCCTTGATTCTGCTTCCATTTCTCTCCTCGAAGAACTTCTCCAAAATCCAGCACTGTAAAACCTCTCCCACATCTCTTTCTCAAGAGCCATAGCACTCTCATCATTGTTATCCTCAAACGAACCATCGTACAGTCGTTTTATATCTGAAGCGTCGTTTATACACATAGGGTAGATACGAGGTACACCGTTAACGTCGTCGCAACAACCGCAACAACAGTTAAGCCGTTTCGGTTGTGACATCCCTGCTTTCATAATTCTCCGCCGCCGTCTCTTTCTCAGTAGTCTCCGGTAAAGACCCGCCGGGAGTTTGTAAACTGCTAAGAGAAAGATATTCGCTAAACTGCATGGACAACAGCAGCACACCGCCAAGCACTCCGCCGCGGTGCTTCCGACTACTTCGCCGATCATGGCTGTTTTTGACGATTGGCTCTGGAGTAACGGTTGTCGGCGGTTTGACGACGCCGCTTGCCGGAGAACTATCTTGTTCGACATTTTTTGATGGGGTTGAAAAAGATTGAATTTTTACGCGATTCTTGATGTGGGTTTCCTTTGTTTCTTGATCGGGTGGAGGTGAAAACTATGAAATGGGTGGGTGTGGATCCTCCTCAATTCGAGATGAAATGAGGTTGGAAAAATTGAAGAACGGAGGAAAAAAAGATCCACACCCTTTTTTGAATTGTACGTTAAAGCGAAAGGTTGAGCTTTTTTTCCATGGTAGAGAGAAAAAAGAAAGAAAAAAAAAGAAAAAATGAATGAAAAGAAGGATGAAATGGTTTGTTGAGATTCAAAGAGTGTTTAAAAAGAAGGAAGAAAGAGAGTTAGAGAGAGAATGAGCCAATTTTAGGGTAAAAATGAAGAAGAAATGGGCAGGCGTCCTACAAAAGTGGGAGAAATGGAAGGAAGTTTGAGTTTTTGGAGATGTTTATGTATTTTTTGAGTTGGGAATGATGGAAATTTGGTGTGATGTGAAGGGCATGACTTGATTTTGTTTATTTTTTGTACTTCTTCTCTCACTTACGTAATTAGGTTATTATAGGCTATTTATTCTTTAGTTTGTTTTTTTAGAATAAAATACTACGTGGGGTGATTAAATGAAGAGGGGAAAATAGAAAAGATTAAAGAATAGGTTATGTATGTACAAGTGGACTTTGGGATAAGTTATCAAGAAATATAACATCGTTATCTTGAGCAATGACACGTCTATCACGCCACCGGTTTGGGCCCGGAGTTATGTTTTAAAGACATTTTGTTTATTTTTAAATTTGATTTAGTATGAATCACATAACAAAAAAATTTGATTTAATAGTATGATGTTTTTATAAACTAAAAAAATCAACTCTTTCTAGCTATTAACTTGACTTTTATGTTATTGCCATGACTTCTATACATCTTGAATAACCTAGTGTTTTTTTTTTATAAGTTGGAGAGTGGAAGGGAGAGATTTAAACTCTCTCTAATTAAAGATATTTATGATGGTTTAAGTTGATTTTTTTTTTACTTTTTCAACAAAAAGTTTTATTAGAGTGGATAGGAGGACTAGCGGTGCAGATCTGAAAATCGATAAAAATTGAGACGATTAGATTCAATTTACAGTTTTAGTTTTTAGAAACTGTCAAACCGATGAATCAAATTGATGCATATAATTATCCTTGTTTGTGTTTCAAATTCTCGATTAGTTTTCATCTTTTTTAATATCATGTTTGTGTTTTCTTCAACGGAATTACTTTTATTTTGTTACAAAATAATTTTTATGTGTATTTAAAATGTAAAACATGTTAATTTTTGTATATGACAATTCTTTATTGTTATTATTGTGTTATATTTGTTATTATTGTGTATGAATTAAGTACAATTTATAAATTGTTTGAAAAGTAGAATATGAAATAGATAAAAAAAATTATATGAAATGTATTATTTTAAAAAAATAATAACAAAAAATACATTGAAAAACATGATAATAAAATACAAATTAATATAATATTAAAAAAAAATTACATCAATCAATTTAACCTAGTTAAATTAAACCAAACTGATTAGTTTGATTTTGTTTCATTTTTTAAAAACACCAAAAATCAAAGCAAATCAAACCGATAAAAATAAAGTAACTCGAATATTTTTTTTATTAATGACCTGTCTAAAACCGAATCAATTATATTCTTATATAAGATGTAGATCGTTCTAAAATTTGAATTAAATTTTATTGATTTCTTAATTAATAAACTTACAAATTTGAATTGGAGGTAACATTCCACTACTTAGTTGCAAAATAAAAAGCAAGGGAATATATATATATATATATATATATATATATATATATATATATATATATATATATATATATATATATATATATATATATATATATATATATATATATATATATATATATATATATATATATATATATATATATATATATATATATAAGTCTTAAATAGTTTATTTAGGGATGACAATATATAGGGTTTGGGTAAGGTATTATAATATTTACCTTTGTATTTGTAGTTGAAAAAAATTTTGTATCCGAGTCCATACATGTTTGGATATCAACATTGACATTCGTCCCTATACCCTATAGATATATAAGTATCTATACCCGTACCCGTTATCCGCATTTATAATAAATATAAATATATAAATATAAAATATCATAATATTTTAAGTTATTAAAAAAAAATTTATTGTTGAATCATGAAATAAATGATCACTTATATTAAATATGTAGTAGTTTAAAATTGATGTTTTTTTTTAAAAAAATTATAAACATTTATTTTTATATAATAATATCAATTAAAATATATAAATATATATTGTACGGGTATGAGACGGGGTGAGTACTAAGATGCTCATACTCGTACCCATTTCTGCTTATTTAAGTGGGTAATTACTCGAGTCTGTGCCCATACTCATTTTTGTAAATTTTTACCCTACTCGTTGCGGGTAATTTTGTGGATACCTATTAGGGGTGAGGCAAATTGTCATCCCTAAGTCTATTGGTCCCGTAAGTTAGAAATTTTTTAATTTGGTCTTTATATCTTTTTTTTTGTATGAGTCCTTATTATATCTCACTTCCTCATATCTTACCTTTGTCTTGGCGTTACATTTTAATGGGGTGAATACATGGTTTGAGCAATTACTCACTTCGTCTCATTTGCACTTTGTCTATGTCTTAAAATAAATGTCTCTTTAAAATACGAATACAACATTTATTATTTTTTTCTACTACTATATTTCTATTTATTAACTTTCCCATTTTTCAACTAATCAACTAACTATAATAAATAAGGGTATTTTAGTAAAACATATCAATGTTATCTTTAAAATATACATATATAATCATTTTTTAAGAATCGTGCAGAGTTCAAATAAGACATTTATTATGAGATGGAGGTAGCATTTATTTATTGGTCCACGTGGCAATGACAAATTTAACAAAATAGATTAAAATGCTTACACATTTTCCACTAAGCCACTTGTGTGTCTCATTACATATTTGCATTGCATGTGTATATATTACATAACGGGAAGGAGGACTAAATCCAAAAATGAAATGATTTTGCAATTTGAATTTCTTCTTCTTCCTTTCCTCTAATATATGAAAATTGATGTTCAATTGAGAGAGATCATGCACTTGCAACCCAACTGCTCTTAAACCAACTTGACCTTGCATTCCATCTCTCCCATATATATACATATATACACACACACACACACACATGAGTGTATTTGTTTTGGAAAATGCTTCATCATTGTCGCTACTGCGAAAATCGAGGCCGACAATGACAGAAGAGTCGCCACCGTGCGTTATTTATCCCAAGAGAGGGAAAGGAAACGCTAAGAGAAAACCTAACGAAAAGAGGGATAAGATCGGTCATCGCAACCAAATCTCGGGTTCGGGAGTCGGTTACGCAAGGGGAAGGTATTAGCACCCGTCACGTCCGTCGTACTCGACGGGATCCACGCTTGTCGTCTATCTAAAAGGGTGATTGAAGCTATCTAACTACAGGCTTGAGGACAAAAGAAAAAAGAAATGACTCGGCAAAGCAACGACGCTTTGTGCCTACGTATCTCATCTGAAATTAGAAGTCAGAGTCAACGTAGTTTGGCTAACTACGCGTGAAGGGGGGAAGGTTGCTCGCCAATACATCGTCGTCTTGTGCCTATGTATCCTCATCTGGTATGAGAAATCAGAGCAAATGTAGTTCGGGCTAACAGGGAACACAGGTTTGCACAGCAGTTTTTAGGCCCGAGTAGGGTTAACAAGTAGTTCTAGCAGTTGGTGTATGCAGCTCGAGCATTGGAGACTTAGGCGTTACCGTTTGCGGTAGAACTAAGAGTTAACAACACTCTTGTTTATGAAAATGTTTTCCTGATTAAGAGCCCTAAAAGGGCAAAAAGAAGTTTGAATGATTTGTTTTTATGTCTTTTAGAGGATAAGTGTTTTGAACTTGGTTTGTTTATAATGTATGTTGTACCAAAGTCTAGAACCTAGGATCGAATGCGTCGCATATCGCCCTAAGGACGTATACTAAACACTCTAGGCAATTGAGAGGTGGCCCCTCAATTACCATTTCCCAAGTATGAGGCTTATGGCACAACATCCATTATCTTTATTAAGTGTTTTATGATTGTTTTGAGATGAGAAGAGAAAGAATACTAAAAAGGGGACTAGATCTAAGCCTAAAGTTGTCATGCAATGGTGGTCCTAAGATTGAGATAAAGGAAATGCTACCTAATGTTATCATACATGGTTGAGATCCTAAAGTCTATCATAATCTCTCTTGAACAAGAGAAATTAGAGGTCCTAGGGGAAAGAAACAACAGAGGAACAACATGAAACAGAATAAGCATACAAGAATGCAAACATGAAATGCAAATGAGGGAGGAAATTCAAACAACAATATGATAAATTCAAGAGATAAGGGGAACAAGAAATACATCAATAGAAACACACAAAAGCACCAAAAGTGGGATGAAATGGCCTAAACCAAACAACATCAACCACAATGCCACAAAGCAAAACAACATGAAAAGAACAAAGAAAAGAACCCTAACTCAAAGAGGGGTTAGAACAAAAGAATAAAAACAGCAAGGCATTCCCAAATATTATTCAACCAAGGAATCATCATGATTTGTGCAAAAATATGCAACAAAAGTGTCCTCATGGTTCACCATTCAATTCATGTTTCAAACACCTCCAAAGGAGGGAACTTAGATAAGCCTAAATGGTGTTCCAAAGTCCTTGGATAGCAAGGGGAATGAAATAAAGGTTCTTAAAAGAAAAAGCAAGTAAATCATAAGGAAATGCAAGCAAAATCCTAAAAGAAAGCAAGCTTGCTTCACAATGAAACCCTAATTGGAAACTCAAAAGTTACCAAGCAAATGAACAAGCAAAACCAAATGTTATGACCTAAAAATGATTAAGCACCATCCTTAACATGTTAACAACATGAACCAATAGGCATTGAGAGCTCAAAGGATCCAAAAATGTC